TCCTTCCACTTGTTCTCTTGTTTCTCTGTCAAGCTGCCCGTTTTAACCCCCGAGTGAAAGCGCGCGTGTTACCTGTGAGCGCCTGTGGGCGCGCACACGAGTCTCTCCCTCACACCCTATCTCTCTACCTCTCCCTCTACCTCTCTCACCCAAACCTGAGCGCATGTACTGTCCACTGGGTGACGCTGTTTCTCTTCCAGCACGCTGTGGTCAAAAAAAGAAATGTATTTTTCTGTTGTCATTGTAAGTACTGTAATAATAATAATAATAATAATAATAATAATAATAATAATAAGAATACACCTTATTTAAATAGCACCTTTTCATACATTTAAAGTGCAACATAAATGCTATACACTGTGAACTAAAAGCAACAGAGAAAGAAAAGAGTAAAAAGAGTTATTATATTTATTATTATTAATAATAATACCACTTCTACTACTAATAATAATAATCATCATCATCATCATCATCCTCCAGATTTTCTCAGTCAAATACCGGCATGATCTTAGAGAGTTTTTCCTGCTGCTGTCTCCCTCTGTGGCACATTATGAGGCTGAACCTGAATTTCTGGATTAAAGATGAGGACGCTGCTGCATCAGTTCCCCTGCAAATAGGTAAAGAGTGTCAGCCTCAGCCAGAGTCTCAGTGTCCTGTCCAGCTGGTCTTCCAGTGTCCTGTTTAGAAGCCCCCCCCCAGTGTCCTGTTCAGTTGGTCTCCTAGTGTCCTGTTCAGACCCCCCCTCCTCCAATGTCTTGTCCAGAGCTCTTCCCAGTGTCCTGTTCAATTGGTTGTCCAGTGTCTTGCAGCTGGTCTCTCAGTCTCCTGTTCAGTCACTCTTCTGGTGTTGTGTTCAGAACCCCTTGCAGTGTCAGCCGGTCTCTATGTGCCCTGGTCAGTCAGTCTTACAAGGTCCTGCTCATTTAGTCTCACAGTTTCCTGCTCAGACAGTCTGCAGTGTCCACTGGGTGGTGCTGTTGGATTGGAATTGACTGATCTCTCATAGTTTCCTTGAGGTCTTGTAAATTGGGGTGTAATAAAATAATGTATTATTAAACACAGGAAGAGAGGGAGAGAAAGAAGATGAAGGAGACTAACAGGACTGAAGCAGATCTGATGGAAGTTAGTGACCAAGAAGAAAAAGAGGGAGAGTTGTTTAAGCTTTCAGTTAAAATTAATACTGAATTCAATTAACCTTCACTGAGAAAATATAATTTCTGTACTATGACCATGGAATTCTGTCATTTAGCTTATTAAACATGCCTGCAGAGCAAATCCACACTCTTTCTGATTGCACCAACTGAGAGCAGAACAATCTATAATCTGTGTTTTTGAATAATATATTTAGGACCTTGCAGCTTATCTAAGAGAGTAAATAGCATTTCTTGACTTCAGTGCCTTTGCTTTATCTGTGCCTGTTGTACGGGGATGGATATAGTGTTTAAGTCATATTTGATCTGTGCTTAATACAAACTATAATGAGACAGATCTACTTGTGCCAATTTGACCAAAATGCCATATTTAACACATTTTCTAGCTGTTGCTACTCTAATAACTCATGATAAACAGACATTTTGGGGCAATTGAAAAATTCTTCAGAGAGACAATGCCCCCAGACCCCCTAGTACAGGCTTGGCCCCCATCTATGAACCTTTAGTGATGCCCCTGGGTCGCTGGTTTGGTGGTGCAAATCACAAGCCTTCACAGTCACCAGATCTCAACAGAGTTGAACTCTTAACCCTTTAATGTCCTCACCAAGAAAAAAGCAATGGATTTTTTTTACATTTTGTATTTGTTTGGGGCAATAATAAAAACAATTGATGTCGTTGACCCCACAGTTTTTAAAATATTCACGTCTACGAAAACGATCAAGATGGCACTTTGTGGCATATATAGTTTTGAAAGAATGCTGTTCCTTATCTCTACTACAGTTCCAGAGACTTAGAATCTACTGTAAAAGGGGATTGAAGCTGGGGTTCGTGTTGGGCCAGCACCTTACTGTCACTGGTCTATGTTTCAGCTTTCTAATCTTCAATTGTTCTAATGACTACGCTACTTGGACTTTCTCACCTCATTCAATACAAGTAACTCATGCATCTATCTACCCATTTCCCAAAATATTATGTTTCTGTACATTTCTATCACAGCCTTTTAGAACTTAACCAGCCTATGTGAACACAAAACTTTCTATGAAAACACATCTGTATACATACTTGCTGTGATTTTGGGAGGAAATCTGCAGAGTATGCAACTTAGCACTCTATCCAGGCACCAGAAATCAAGATATAAAGCTGAAAGTAAAGGTGCTTCCACCATTTGTCTGTGAAACACTTTAGAAAAACAATGAACTTTAAGGGCGGTGTTACAGTCTTATTCTCCTGCAGTCTCATTATTTTTACCTTTAAAGTGCATGTGACTACAACATTGTAGAAGGTGATTCTCTCACCGTTCCACTGCAGCTTCAATCATTTGACGAGACTCATGTTTCTGTAGCTCCATGCTTTTAGTTAAGATAAGGAACATACAAACGTTTGGACTTGGAAATGAGACAAAGAACGGATCTCTGCTGCTTCAGAATGTGAGATTGAAAAATGCATGGTGTATAGAGAGCTGAGGTTCAAGATAAGAATGGAAATTAACTGAAGGCCATAATCAGTGACCCTCAGTGGTTATGGTAACAAATTCAGAATTGTGGATGCTACTTATGGATACTGATAACATTCCATTTATTGCTAAATTTGTTTGATGAAGAATTGTGAAACATAAAATATAAAACTTCGGACTTGACATTTTGATGTTTAATGCCTCACTGGAAGATGGAAAACTGTATGCTGCATTTATTACCTCACCATGACTGCAAGAGTTATTAATGTTGTTCTGCTGTACTATTTAAATGTAATTACATAATTACATTAATTACCATCCAAAATTTCCACTTGATTAACTGTCTACACTGTCAGAGTCTGTGCGTTGTTTTTTTCTCACTGTAAAGCAAGACTGTACCCTAAGTACCCTACATTTTCATCCAGTCCAATATAAAATTCAAATTTATAGTAAAATACCTCCTTTTCTACTTACAAACACTCATGTGGTGTGGACTGAAAGTTTAGAATCTGCACTGTCCACACAGTTCCTCAACTTGTTTCAATGAGAAACAATTCACATAATATTACAGCATGATTTTATTATTTCTGGCAATAGTTGTGACTTTTAAGAATTGTACAAGTGAGATGCCGAATAGTTGAATGTTTTCTTCCTGTACTTACCAGCAAAGGACCCGACTCTGTTGATAAAGAGCGTAAATTGAATGTAAATTCATTATGCAAAAATGTTTTTGTTGTTGTTGTTGTTTCATTATGTAATTGCATTTAAACAACATTTATAACTCTATAAGGGTTAACATAGTGCCTCACTGTTAAATAAAGCCTCATATGTGCCATTCTACTGAATTTGTTCAAACTGTGGTCCCACAGTACAAAGGTTAATAAAAAAAAAATTCTAACCCTAGATATTTACAAAGATTATGTTATGATCTATTCAAACCCAAGACATTAATAGAAATAGTAAAAAGCCAACTACATATAAAAACATAATTTATTGGGTACTTTCTATTGGGAGGTGTCTGCCCCAAACCCTAACCTGTTTCTGGAAATCTACTACTAACTAAACTAAGAGTTAGCTCTTAATCTAATGGAAAAAACACCTGATCCAGGTAACAAAGGCCTTCAGAGGACTCTGAAAGTTAGGGCCAGGTATGCTGGATATGAACTCTCCAGGGTGGTAGATCTTTTGGACCAGGATTGGGCACCGCTGCCTTAAGATAAAACAGGCTGTTTTTGTCACTGTGATTATAATATTGATATATGTAACCATAACAGAGCTGAATGGCTGCCCTGTGTTGTGCCTCACAGAGAGCAGCAAGAAGTCAGGAACCAAACCTGTGTTGTTTCAACTGTATTCATGTAATCCACATGATGAATAACTTCACCGACCAATAATATGTTGCAATCCAAATAGGTAGAAACATATAACATTAGATGCAGAACATAATGGGATCCTATGGGCACTGGGGCCAATAAGATCGTAGCTACGCCACTGTCTGAAACAACATCAGCACAAGAACTGTGTATCAGGAGGTTCAGGAAATGGGTTTTCATTGCCGAGCAGCTGCACACACACCTAACCACAATGCGCGATGCCACGCAACGACTAGAGTGGTGTAAAGCATGCCACCATGGGACTCTGGAGTAGTGGAAACGTGTTCTCTGAAGTGATGAATCCTGCTTCACTGTGTGGCCCTCTGACTCACAAATCTGGGTTTGGCGGATGTCAGGAAAACATTAGCTGCTGGAATGAATAGTACCAACAGTAAAGTTCGGTGGAGGAGGAATAATAGTCTAGGGCTGTTTTCCAGGGCAATTCCAAATTAATGTCTATGGTTTTGGAATGGGATGTCCAACAAGCTCGTGTAAGTGTGATGGTCAGGTGTCCACATACTTTTACCCTACAATGTATGTCCAACTTCTGTCATGCCTTGAGTTTGTTTAACACTGAAGTGCATGGAGCCTAAAGTATCATTTACAAGCAAAACACCACCTGTGCAGCAATTCCAATAATTCAGAAGACTATGATGGAGCTCGTGGAAAAGAAACAAACAAAAGAAAAAGCAAAAATTCAGTACCATTGAAGCATCGCCAGCCTTATCTCTGAAGTAAGTTTGTCATTGTTGTGACATAACAACAACCTATAGGAGGCCTGTTAATGTTTTTTGCACGGGGCCCCGGAAGATCCAACCCACACCACCATATGAACCACAAGTTATTCTCCTATCTGTCCCTTTCTTGAGTGAAATATTATGCTTGACACAATAGATTCAACACGAAACGTAGTTTCCATTGCACTTCTCTAGAACGTAACCAGCCTATTTAACCACAAAAGTTTCTATGGAAACACGTGTTCTTGCTATGAGTTTGAGAGGAAATCTGCAGAGTATGCAGACAACTCTTTCCATACAACCAACGGAAATCAAGAAATAAAACTGAAAGCTAAAGTGTTTCCACCATTTGTCTGTGAAACATGTTAGAACAATGGACTTTAAGGACATTGTTGCAGTTTTATTCCTTTGCAGCCTCATTATTTTTACCTTTAAAGACTGCAGTGCATGTGACTACAACGCTGAAGAAGGTGATTCTCTCACCATTCCACTGCAGTTTCAATCATTTGACAAGAATCATTACTTAAGGTGGGTCCATAACTCTATGATTCTGTATAAGAGGACAAAGGAAAAAACATACGGACGTGGAAATGTGACAAAGGACGGATCTCTGCTGCTTTATAATGTAAGCTCAGAAAGTAAAGGTGAATACAGAGCTGAGGTATATGAAATGGATGGACGTCAAATAATGTCACAGTCAGTGATCCTCTGTGTTTACGGTAAGAAATTCATAATTATGGATGCTTCTTTACTAAAATTCCATTTATTACTAGATTTATTTGATGAAAAAATGCAAAATCATGATATATTCCGTTCTAATGCAACTACTGTATATTTTGCTGTAACATAGTGCTTTACTGGTAGAAAACACCTTACATAGTATTCACCGACCGGCCTCCCCTTGTGTCTAGCAGTGCAGCTGGAGTTTTAAACACCTCAGTATCACTTCTGGACTGTACTGTAAAAAATGATTCAATGTTTTAATTTAAAAAAGTAAGTAAGCTTGTTGCCTGAAACTTTTGAGTTCACTGAACTTCAAATAATAAGTTACCAGAATGTAAAACACACATTATTGTTTTCTTAACTTACTAATAGAAGTTTAATTGAACTCAAAATATTAAGGCAACCAGGTTACTTACTTTTTGAAGTTAAAACCCTCCTTTTTTACAGTGTGAGAATAGCACACCAACCTAAAATATTCAGCCAACACTGTTCTGTGACCGCTGATGAAGAACTAGAGAATGAGTAACACAAACTGTGCAGCAACAGGTGAGCCACTGTCTCTGACTTTACATCTGTCAGGTGGACCAACATGGTCTGTATGTCTAACAGAGTGGACAGTGAGTGGACACAGTGTTTAAAAACTCCAGCAGCACTGCTGTGTCTGATCGACTCGTACCAGCGCAACACACACTAACACGCCAACACCATGTCAGTGTCACTGCAGTGCGGAGAATGATCCACCACCCAAATAGTACCTGCTCTGTGGTGGTCTATGGGGGTCCTGACTATTGAAGAACAGGGTAAAAGTGGGCTAATAAAGTATCAGAGAAACAGATGGACTACAGTCTGTAACTGTAGAACTACAAAGTGCACCTATATAGTAAGTGGAGCTGATAAAATGGACAATGTCATATAATGGGTGTAGAAACAAGGAGGTGTACTTAATGAAGTGGCCGGTCGGTGTATATTGTCTTAGCTTTTTCATGCCATACACAATAGTTGCTTTAACCCTTAGAGTTAAAGTAACTATAGCTTCATAAAGCATTACATTTATACATTCTATATTGACAGGTTTGGATCTGCACTTCTAACTATTTTCCGTTTCAAAAAATTTGGCAAAGATGTAAGGGATTTTTTTCTCTCTGCAAAACAAGACTGCATACACAACAATAACTTTTCATCAGCTTCAAACCATAATAATATATCTCCTCGTCTACACTGTAAAAAAAATGCCTGAAGAGCCAGACAAGCCTGTTAATTAACAGTAAAAGTGTGTTTTCTCAATAATTTGTAAATCTTATCATTTTACAGTCAGTTTCTTAGAAATACTGACTTTTACTGTAATTCAGTAGTTTCACCAGTTCAACTAGGTATTCTTGCATAAAGTATTTTACAGTAATAATAAATAATATAATAATATAAATTAATGATAGCAGTCTTAAAACAGTGTATGATTTATTTTAATGCATTTGCAATTCCATTTTACAGTACTTTGACTGGGAACATTTTTTACAGATGTTGTCTGGATTGGAAATTTAGAATCTGCACAGCTTCTCCGCTTGTTTAAGTGAAATACAAGTTGAAAATTATTAAGGCTGCCAAACAATTAAAATAATGAATCACAGTTAATGATGTTAGTTTGGGTAGTTAATCATGATAGCATTTATCTTATTTTCTCTAATTTGATAAAGGGTGAATACAGAAGGGTAAAGTTAGGAAAATGTGTGTCTTGGGTGGTGTTAATAATTTATCATGTTAACATCACTAAAAATTACAGCAGGATTGTTATATTGCACACAATAGTTGTGACTTCTATGAATTACATGGTTTAGAACATAAATGTTGAAACGCTGAATGTGTGAATGTAACCACAGAATTCTATTTTTTCTTATTAACCAGCAAAGGTTCCAAAGCCAACAGTCAATGTCACTTGTCATAACAAGGTGGCTACCTTCAGCTGTGATGTTGAAGACAACACAGGCCTGTCCTTCAGCTGGTACCTGAATGAAAATGATATGGATCAAAATGAACAAACCTTCTCTTTAAAAGTGGAGGACGTTGAGAACTACATTCAGTGTGCTGTGAACAATCAAGTTGACAGTAAAATAAGTGATGTTGTCTTAGTACACTGTCCAGATCCTGCTGAATGGATCGGGTTAGCCATCCTAGTGTTGGTAGGAGCTCTTTCAGTGATGATGATGATTATACTGGTGATTTGTGTCTGCCAGTGCTGTAAACTAAAGAAACACTTGCAATATGAAGAGAACTTCAGCCTTCACAGACTACAAACTGGCTACTGGAGTGAAGCTTCTGATTCTGATTCATTTTCAGAATCAGTCCTGTGATGTTAAGTAAAGATGTAAATATTATATTATTACCTTATGTAATAATACCATGTCCCATATGTATTGTATATATGTAAGCACCTGTATGTAAAAAAATTATGTTTCGCATGTGCGAAACTTTAACACTAAATGTGAAAAAGAGTTATTTAAAAGCAGATGCACAACAAGAATGCCCATCAGAATCTAAGACAGTTTGGATATATCATCTTCTGTTGATGTACATCATCTTCTGTCTCACTATTTTGTCATGAGTAACCATGTAATCTGGTTCACTACTGTAGCAATACTGCTCTCTAGTGGTGAAGAGACAACATCACAATGCAGGCTAACTTTGCTTATCCATAAACAAATAAAGAAATGTTATTTTCTAGTTAGTGATCAAAAACCACAGTTAGCAAAAATGGATGTACCACTTCCAGAGAGAGCCATCAATACCCAAATGCTGATAGTATTGATGTAACCCATTAGGTGGGAAAGAAGAGGACTCACAGAGTCAAGTTGAGTTTCTTGAGAAGTAAGGCCAGTGCATTGTATATGGATGTATACGCAATTAATGGTTTGTACTAACCATAAAACATTACATAATTTCATTTTGTGAGTGCACCTTTCTGTTTCTCATTGATCCAAACTGGGTAACCTGCCATATTCCATATTCCAATATTTCTAAAAAAATATATTGGGAGAATTTGGTTGGTATACACAAATCCAAACCCATTACTTGTGTTTTTATGTATCCTTTGTACAAGTTATCATTGTTAAACTATTCAAAAAATTCTGTCCCTTTGCTTTTTTAATTTTGTAATGGTGAAAAATATTTACATTTATACAATAAATCAATTATCCCCACCACGTGGATTACCACGGTAAATTATTGCATTTTCTTGGAACAGACAGATGCTACAAGTTTTTACCTTTTTAATGACATCTGGAGATCTTTTTCTATTTTTTCCCTAATTGTGTACAAAGCAACTCTGCCATTAATTTGTTGTTTATTGTTGAATAAAAAGTGCACTGAGAGACTCCACACATTTCCATCTCACTCCTACACTGTTTCCTGACCAGTACAGCTACAACCACAATAGAAGCATTGAGGATACCATTGCCACTGCGTAATAGATCCTTCCCCATGCTTAAAATTTGGCAAGGTGTTCTTTTTCACCAAATGCTGCTTCTTTTTTTCTCCAAACATAAAATACCGTTGGCGTAGAAGAAAATGTGCAAATGGGCAAATGCTCTTTTATTGAAGAGGCACTTCAACAGTGAGTCTTTACAAATACCAGAAATGCCCAGCCTAGTGTTATCCCAACATGAAACATGGACAGTCCCCTCTGGGGACTCTCTACTCTAAAAACACACAATTACTCTAACAACAACAGCTACCTGCAACAACAGCAACAACAATCGTCTTTTTAACCAGGAGGCGTGGTGTCCCCCGAGAGCCAGTTTACATAGCCACACCCCCTAAGCTCTTCACGGCAGTGCGGCCCAAGGCAGATGCCACAATACCTATTGTGACTGTGGCAAAAGAGTACCTCCATCAATTTGCAGCATTTGTTTCCAAAATGCCTCTTATCTACATGTTGTTTTACATCATTTCAATGTTGACTTTTGTGATGATGTTGCAGGTAAGGAGCCCATCAGTGTTGAGTAATAGAACAAGGTTTGAAGATGCAGAGAATTTTATCACACTCTGATTCTTCTGATTAGTTTTCCATGTTTGCTCAAACAACACTGCACAATGGAGATTTGTTTTGGGCCAGAATATGAGCAGCTCTATTTGTGAATTTCCTTTGTCCTTCAGATTGTGCATTGAATTCCACAATTCCTCTTTACTGCCATTTATTAATGACATTTTGAACAGTGAAATGGCATGTTGGAAGCGCTTTTACATCTTTTTATAGCCTTTTCTTGTAGACCTCACTCAGCTTCATTTCCAGATCAGCCAGCTGCTTAGAGAAGCCCATAACTGTTGAGTATTAGGACAAGGTTTGAAGAGTCAGAGAGTTTTTTATTGCACTGTTCACTTGTTTTTAGCCGACAACAAGTCAGTTGAGGCCTAATGAGTTATTTACATTTTGAAACTTCATTGGAATGGTGCCTGAACTTGCACATGCTACAATTACTGTCTTATTTTAACTGAACATTTGTGAAATGTTTTTTTTTTTAATAGTTTGCTACAGAAGCTTTTTTTCACTTCAGAAATCAATACAATATGTCATTTGGTCAGGAGTGCTCAAACTTTTGGAAACAAAAGTTTTTAGAAATAGTTTATTTAGTGTGCTAACTTCAGCTCTGTATTCAATACCGTGGTCACCCAGAAACTGGTTGGGAAATTATTCTTGCTGTGACTTTCTGGCCAACAGGCTTCAAGCTTGTTAAGATCCAAAACAAAACATCCAACATTGCAGTGGAGTTCCTCAAGGGTGCATGCTAAGCCCATTGATGTTCACCGTTATGATTACATGATTATGTTATTAAGCGTAGCAGTAACCACATTTACAAATTTGCTGTAGTATAATGGCATACTAAACACATAATATCTTGAACTTGATTACTTAGTTGTTTAATAATTTAGGCATGCAGTTAGCACCACACTAATTGTTGCAATACAAGCTTCTACTAACTCAGGTACAAAAAAACAAAGTTGGTTGATCAAACTGTGAAAACTGGATAAATTTGATCTTTGGCTAAATTATCTTATTAAAGTCAATAAGACTATTCATTGGGAAGGTAATTCCCTCATACATTAGAGGCTCCAAAGTAGAGCTGGTGCAAAGCTTTAAGTTGCTCAATATGCACATAAGTAAGAAACTGGATTGGACCTTTAATATGTCTTCATATAGCATCACGAATGAAGAGCACACAGCAGCTGTAACCTTACTTCCTGAAGAAAGAGAAAGAAGCATTGTTGCTGACCTTGTAGCCTTACCAAAGTTTTAAATATGTCTCACAATGGCTGCAACACAGTCTGTTATGGGAACAACAGTGACTCAGCGCAGAAGGCAACATGGTGTGGGGTAAAAATGGCCTACCCCAGCACAGAAATGTAATTTCAGGGTGTCTGTGTCAAGAAGTGAGTCCACAGAGCCTGCGGTATTGCTCAAAACCTTTGGACAGATAGAGTGCTATTATTATTAAATCCATGTCATTGAATGCCTAATTTCAATACCTCAGCAGTCGGTCTTATCAGCATTGGTGAGCAAATAAGCGTGCTTGTTCCAAATTCTAGACTGCAGACTGTCTGCCTAAATTACATCTTGTAAACATGTTGTTAACTGAAAAAAGGTATCAAACAAAAATAGTACTTAGAAATTTGTATTGAAAAATTGACAACCATGCCCAGCCCTATAAAGGGCATATGAATTTTACAGAGACCCTTAGTTATGTCAGAGTAAGGACACAGGGGCAGGAGAGGTGAATGCAGAGATTTCTTTTTGATTTAAACTAAAGCAAAATTAGGCTCAACCAATTTTGCTGGTGAAAACATTAAAAAATTCCTTTCAGCAGCATAAACCTAAACATATTCTGTCTAGATCCCATCCTCAGCTAGGAGATTTGCAGCTCACTTCTTAGTCTCTGGGTTCCCTGTGTGCTCTCTCTCCCTCTGAAAGGTGCCTGTGCTTCTTCCACAAAACACTCCCAGGTGTTCTTCATTGTGGAAAGGAGCACTGGCACCTGCTGGGAGAGAACAGCAGCTCAGTATTAAGCCACCTCAGTATTGCTACTCTACAGCACTTCCACCAGCATTGAATGACAAGCATAGTCTGATGGCTGTGCTCCACAACAGAAGGCAAGGTCCAGGAGGTGGTGCCGCCATGCCCAGCACTGGAAAGCGGGGTGTCAGACTATCACACCCTATAGGGCACTGGGCAGCACTAGGGAACTGAGCACTGTCCAGTCAGGCCCCCTTGGGCACTAGATGACTCTAGGGAACTAAGCACTGTTCTGTCGCTGACCTCTGAACACTCAAGCAACACCCTTACAAAACACAGAATAAAATAACTGATTAAAGCAGACCAAAACTCTTTTGTGTTTATGGGCTGTGTAATACTGCAGTGACAAGTTGGTCTGCACAGCTTCTCTTTTTCAGCGCCGCTTCCTGTCTTAACATTCTCTCACATCATATGAAGACCGTTTGTTCCCATATATATTTGTGAAGTAAAATGGTTTCAACTGATGTCTATATATAGCAGTGCAAATTTGCAATGATTGCACATGACCTGCATTTTCTCAACCCTGTAGAAATAACCAAAATATAAGCCATTTGTTCACAGTTCCCTTTCACTTTCTGCTGGCAAAACTATGCATTTAGACACAGCCTATCAGAGTAAGATGGGTGGGGCTTATGCTATGAACTTATCCACACTCAAACCACTGCTTTTTTCCTGAAAAGCATTTTTGAGAGAACATTTTAGGGGTTGTGTGGGGTTCATTTTGTTAGAGGGCAGTGTAGCCCTATAGAGTCAATAACATTTAAGTAGTATTTAGGGTCATATAGTGCCATGTACCACATTTGTGAACTACTTTAGAACTATATAAATCAAATATACTGGTCAGAGAAGGTAAACATGCATGTGCCCAGTCTGAGAACCAACCAATGTGCAAAACCATCTGCCTTGAACGTGTGGTAATACTGTTGTTTCTTTATTTGGCTGTCCATTACTGAGGCCTTTATTTTCTTTGAGATGTCATCACATTAAAGGACACTTGAGCTGTTGATGAAAAAGTAGATAACAGTTTTTCTTTCCAGTACTGCACAATGCTGGAAAGAAGCATACTGACCCTGATCAAAACCTACCATCTCTAAAACGGCCCGTTTTACAGGAGAAGGAAAACACATCCTTAAGATGTAAGTTGATTCCTCAATTGATTTCTCAAAATTGTATTCCATGTATTGAAGAACCATTCTATCAATCCATTCATCATGTAATGTTCACACAATGTACATCTGGTGTTTTTCAAGGTAAAAAGTACAAAAAAACAACTTAGCTTGTTTTTTGCCATTAGAAAATTGTTTTCAAACTATAACATAATATAACTGTTACGTTGTAGCCTAATTAAAAAGACCTCGGCAGTTTAGAGTGAAAATACGGTTTATTTAAGGGAAATCCTTTTTCCTGGCTTCAGCTATAACTGCTATAACAAGTCATTAAACTATGCAATCCATATAATGTATAATTAGTAGATAGACAGACAGATTTTTATTTTTTCCCAATATGGTAAATTCAGCAAATAAACAGTAATTGTGCAATAATGTCCTGTAGTGTGTTTCACTGTAGTGTTTTTTTTTTACTTTGAAAATCAACAAAACATATCAATTGACCAGGGGTAACCATACTAATGTACAACTACAACTGTGGATAGATAGATAGATAGCTAGATAGCTAGATAGCTAGATAGATAGATAGATAGATATGATTAAATGAGACAACTGTTTGTTGTCTGTTTTTATTTCTTTGTTTAATTAAATGAACATAATAAAAGTACAAGACAAATGTATCGTAAGTGTAAGAAAAAGTTTTCTACAAGCAAAATGTTTTAAAATAAAAAAGCAATTTTTAAAGGAATTTTTGACAAAGTTCTTTGGTGTAAAAGCACAATGCTATTAATGAATGGAACCCAGTAACCACCAATTATCATTCTGTTATTGGCACAGTGCTAACTGATGACTATTCATTTCCATTCACCGTTAGCAACATTAGCATTTTGACAAAACTGCTTTGTTAAAGTCAGAGTGAGTATAAAATCACGACTCACGTTTCTTCCATAGCGTGACATATTTACAAGTGAATTATGGTATCTTTAAGGGTTTCTGTGCTAGCTGAGTGCTTTCTCTCAATGACCGGTGTGGTGGTTGGAGGGAGAGGGGAAACATTATCCTCTTGGTTAATATTATTTTTCCCCACCTGTTGGTGCACAGTGATGTCATCAAAAACCAGAAGATGTTTTAGAAGCGAGGCTAAAGTCACTACATTTTGAGGGAAGATTATAGGAAAACTAGAATGTAGTCTTTTAAATGACATGACATGAAGAATCGTGCTTAATATGAGAAGGAACATGAACAAATAAAATAAAAAAGTTTCATTCTGATTTTAGGTTGACTGACATCATAAAATATAGCTACCATACAGTAATCTGTCAGTACATAACCCGAGTTGTACAGCATGGATTTAACTTTTTTTAAAATCTGAGAATTTTCATCTTCAGTGTTGACATTGAATATGCCACAAATCAATGCTAGCTATATAAGTTAAGGTCCTGTCAACATTTCTTACTGCCCACCTGCTCAGAAAGGTCATCATCCTCCTTAAGTAGCTTTTTCATTCTTGTGTTTTTGGTGCCACCTTGGTTTTTTACAGTTCTTGCCACTTCTTCACATGATTCACCTAAAAAATGTGTAAAAATTTCCGGTCCATCTTCAACAGTGGAGCAATCGTTTAAAAAAACTTTTAAAAAGTTCTGTAATCATAACTTGAAATGTTTGTGTGCATTTTATATAAAGGGTGTGTATGTAACACATTCATAACATATTACATAAACACTTCATAACATGTCCATAAACATTTAAATCACCAGACTACTGTCTCCACAAGGCAGAAGCCTATTTGAGAACAGCAAATATCAGTTCTATATTCCTACTTTAGCTAAAACACAAAAGTATTCTAGTTTCTATTAAGGAGACCTGTGCAGCTGCAGATATAAACAACTAATGTTTCTGATGTCTGCAGCCACACAGGTCGTCTGGATAGAAACTGTACATTGTATTTAAACTCAAGTAGAAATATATAGAAGTGATATATGGAGCTCCTAACTAGTCCTCTTCCATTAAGGGAACATTACTTGAGAATGAAGCTTCATAACAGTGATACACAGATGTAGGCACCCAAAGTTTTGCATACAACCGTAAATGGAATAAATGTTTGTCACTCTATTTTAAGGCCACGTATGTCAACACAATGTGATTTACTTCATAAAACTTATTATGCTCCCTTGCAAAGACTGGCATATGCTGTTAATAAATACTCAAGTATGGCTTTATAAATATGTTAATCAGTGCTTATGCATGTGTTATGAAGTCTCTATGTAGGTAACCTTCATATGAAGTGCTACCATTTTGCTTTTACCTAAATTTTACCTAAATGCAAGCCAGGCCGCCTCATGCGTTTATCTCTCTGACACCGTGTTCTGGTTTCTGATGTTCAACTTGTGCATAAACACCTTCAGCTCCATCTACATCTGTGAGCTGCTCTGGATCTGTTGGTTTTGTCTCTGATTGCTCTTTTTCCACACCAGGGTCCAAATCTGACTCAGGGGTCTTGTGATGGACGATGTTTCCATATGTTGCCTCCTCCTCGTTTGTGGGCTGGATGATCTCTTCTCCACTCACCGTCTCCGGTTTGGTTTGTTCTTCCTCAGTGGCAGCTGAGTTTTCTGCCTCTGTGGTCTCTCTCTCAGGGTCTTCTCTCGAGCTGTGATGGATGGCGGCGTAATCAGGCGTAAGAGAGGAAAGACCCCTGATTTCGCCTGACGCTTTTTCAGCATTTGGGAAGTAGATGGTGGAGTAGTGGAGAATGTCCAGGTTGGGTGATAATATGTTTTTGTTGGCATATACAGACTCCTCCTCCTGCTCATCCTGACAAACAGCCTGTGGGATTGACAGCAAATCATTTTTTTGCAAAAGTGATATCATGCCAGTTATTTTATCTAGTGAAACGTCTTTTTATCAGTAGATAATTTTGCTTATTTTGAAATAATCCTAACAACAAGCCAATTTAAATAATTATGCCCGCATTGTAATGAAGTAAGAGCGTTGGTTAGTGTTCACTGTTTACCTTCTTCCAACTAACAGGCAGAAGCTGAAGTCTGCTAAACCTATGGTCAGTACTGTGAAGAAGTGGAGAAATAAGGCAAAAATACTGTCTAGAAAATGTATATTTCACGTTTTCAGTTCCTGCAAGGACGTCTGTGTTCCCACCAGGACTCAAATACAATAATGACAAGCCCTGGTTCAACACTAAACTCAGACAGCTTCATCAGCCAAAAAGAGCTTCTCTAGCAAGCATGCTGTGTTCAGTCAGCCAATGGTCCATTGGCTGTGTGGACAAGACGGTATAAGTGTGTTAGAACTCAGATATAAATGACAATGTTACTGTATAATAGTGGCAGAACCCTACATATATATATAATACTTTTTTTTTGTTATGTATAACCGGAGACTTATTTTTGTATATGCAAACACACCTGACTAATAAAACCTTATCCTGATACTGCTAATGGACAATGTATGTGTGTGTGTGTGTGTGTGTGTGTGTGTCTGTGTGTGTAGGGGATGGAATTTCCCACTAACCCTATCATTTAAAATGAGTCCTGCAGATTCTTCTTGTGGAAGTTTGTGATGCACTCTCCTGAAAAATAATTTATTTTCTTATCAGTCATCAGATCGCAGTGCATCTCCACCATACTTGCACTGTTGTAAAGAAACAGTTTTTCAGTTTTTGTAAATACACTGATTTATACAGAATAAAATAACTACACTAATTTTTACCCGATTTTTCTCCCCAATTTAGTCGTCTCCAATTCCACCCGCTAGTTAGGACTCCCCCAATCACACAATACCATCAACACTAGGAGGGCGAAGGCTAACACAGGCTTCCTCCGAGACCTGTGAAGCGCCACCGCTTCTTTTCGAACTGCCGCTCACGCAACGTCACTGGACAGCCGAACGCGCTCGGAGGAAAGCGCCAACCGCCAGATCTGTTACGTCAGCTAACAGACGCCTGCGCTGAGTGATGGGGGGGAGAAGGAGGGGCCATCCTACCCACCCAGAGAGAGCGAGGCCAATTGTGCTCTCTCGGACTCCCGGCTACGGACGGCTGTAGCATCACCAGGGATCGAACTCGCGATCTCCTGATGATAGGGCCAACGCTTAGACGGTTGCGCCACTACACTTGCAATATAAGCAAGACACTAACATTCAAGTAACTACAGTTGCAGAAATTCAGAAATCTACTGTACAATCTAAAGTACAATCACTTGAGTATTTTCCACTCCTATTCACATGTAAACTAATTCTACATCTACTAAATGTCAGTCAATCTTTTAGACAGACTTTACTGCTCTTGAGGTCTAGTAGTGTGTATATTATGGACACACCTTCTGCACAAAAATATGGAACACAGGATCATCACTGCAGAAGCTCCAGCAGCAGCACCAACCAGCACAGAGGGAATCTGGAAATGATCTACAGTGATGATAAAAAGTTAAAAAAATGTAATTTAAGCAGAGGTTGACTTGGTTAATACACAGTTCAGTAACATACGGAACAAGTAAAAACAGGCATTTTTTTGTCTTAATGTGTCAAACCTAACAAGCTAGGTAACAGTTATCCAAAGCAAAGTGGTTCCGTCACAACTTTCTAGATTTTCTTAGGCTACGCAAGTGGAAAGGAAAGATGTGAAATAATGCATACATGCAGTGCATCATGCAAATATAATAATAATGAGAAATTTGTTAACCCTTAAAATTCCAGGCTTATTACATACTAAGGGTTAATATTCAGTAACTACAGTGACTTGTAGAAATGCAAACTGGCTAATCTATTTTTAGGTTATAGAAGTGCATGATAAAACCTTTGGCCTGCTGGTGGGTCCTGACCTTTTAAGGCGTTAAATTACTGTTGAGACAGAAGTCTTTGGACAGCATATCTGCAGATCTTACTAGATAAAGGCTCTTTGGCCACAAAACAAAGCCTCAACACTTACATTTAATTTCACTTCCTTTTTGTGGTTTAAGAGCTGAGAAACTATTTAAAACACAGAGCAATTTTCAAGTGAGAAAACAGAAGAACAAGAAGGCACGTGCTAGAAAACACAGGCTTAAATGTACTGTTTGATGTTGCACAAAAAGACAAGAGATGGAAAGGGCAACTGAAGTTCTTTCTCAACAGTTATACTCTCAAAAGTATCTGCATATGGGCAAACTGTGCATGTGCTGCATCACTGTTGCAAAAGGGAAAAATCCAATTTTAAACTACCCTTAAGGAGTTTATTTTGTCATTTGGGTAAATTACTTAGAACGCCCTCTATCCGTCTATAATCAGCAGGTTTGGTAGTTCAGTAAAAAAGTAGCCAGGTTATTGATATTATCTATGATTTCATTTTCAATACACTTAGTCCACCTTATAATTTGCTAATTAAGGTATCCAAAACTGGACCTTACGACCATTGTTGTACCTTTTAGGGTATGTTTACATTATTTGTTCCTTGATGAACAGAAATGTACCTGCCGAGAATCCTTTTTTTGACAGTGTGGTTGATCAGCCAAGATTTGTGTATGAAGTTTTCAACTTCACATTTAGCACTGGAGTTAACAAGGAATGGAAGCCTATAGCCAATCAGCATCATGTTTAAGCAAAGCAGTGTTTCTAACCTGCAGGTGAGCAGTGATGAGTAGCCACAGCGTAGAACAGCTGAGAAGTGCTGCCCAGACTGTTGGCGCTGATACACTGCAGGGTGGGCGTGTCTGCAAGTGATTGATGGATGTAGATGAAACTCCTCAGGCCCGTGTGGCCCACAGACTCCTCCCTGACAGATGAGTTCTCAGGGGGTGGGACAGGTTGTCCAGACAGACGCCACTCCAGTTTAGGAACAGGACGTCCATGAACCTCACAGACACACATGATCCCACCTTTACTGCTGCTGTTACAGTGGAAGGAGAGAGAGATCTGAGGAGCATCTGAGAGAGAGAGAGAGAGAGAGAGAGAGAGAGAGAGAGAAGAAAATTAAATTCACCAGACCGTCTATGCTGTGCATTTCTCTAGTTCTAACAACATCACATACGATGAGGAGATTGTGGAATTCCCTGAACAGTAAATGCAAAGGGCCAGGTGTTCATATGAATATGTTTACGTGCAGTGCAATTTATATCTTGGTGCACCTCAATATTTGCTAACAATATGCTGGAATTTAAGGACCCTGACACACCTGTTGGACGCTGTCAGGCCATTGGTGATTATCGGTGTGTGATGGTCATTTTGCTGTTTGAATATCCAAATTTCTAAACAAGCAGTACACTGATGCTCATACTCTTTTTTTTTAACTTTTTATCACAAAATTATGGTACATGCATAAAGTGTGTATTTTAATTGACACTTTGATAGCTTTGATCATCAGTTGGCCTTGGTTGGCAACAGTTGTTCCTTGTCAGGTTGTTGAGTCTGGTTGCTTACATTGATTTACAAAAACTGCTTATCACGCAAACTGCATGTAGCCCTGCACACTGGCTGAGGCACAGCATTTAAAAGGAACAGTGAAATAATGGTGCCATCAACAAGCTCGAGACAAAACATAAATTAAAAGTTCAGTGATGAAGAGAAAGCTAGAGATGAAAAAGTCTTTTTTATCAAAACATTCTACAGGTGTGTTATTTTACTCCAAATTTGTGAAATGACAACGAGGACTGTGCATGCATTTTGCAGCCACATCACAGCATATTTTGTGCCATGTCTTCTCATATACAAACATCTGGTCCAGAGAGTTTAAGCAGTGTTACTGTCAAGGTAAATATTCTTTCAGCACAAGTTTGAGGCTTATTCCTCCATCCAATCACTGTGTCTGCTGTCATTGTTAAGGAAAGTCTCTAAATATGTCTTTTGAGACCCTAACGCAAATTTACATCTGGTTTCAAAAGGCGGTGGAAAATCAATGTAGTAAATACAGCACAATATGCAATCAAGTGCTCTTATAAGTTTTTAGACCACCTTTGGTTTGATCATGCCTTAAATGAATATGAAGCATATTTGCATTTTTTTCATGCATACGGCCCACAAACAGCTCATTTATGCTTGTGCACCTGTTTCATACAGAACACACTGGAAAAATGGGTCTGAAGGCTCAGTATATCGAGACTTCAGTGTTTTCTGTTTCTTTCTAAATGTTCTTCAGTGAATACCCAGTGGAGGCCAGAGGAGCATGAGGTGTCTTATTTCATTCTTGCTTCCTCTAAAAGCTTCTGCATTGTCTCTTGAGGAGTTTTCTTGTCTTGCCCAAGATCAGAAACTTCATGCTAATGTCTGTGCCGGTGCAAAGTACCGCTTATGACTAAAAGTTATTCTAAACACTGCCACAAAGTACTAATCGCTCTTTCACGATGACTAGGTCTGAACTTCCTTCACAACCTTCCTGTGATATATCAGATCAGACTGTAGACTGTAATAGACATTGTCAAACAGTGGGGAAACTAGAAACTTGATGACTTCACTTGTCTAGCTTGATTATATTTCACTCAGTATTGTGCTGTGAAAATACTGAGTAAAGTGCGTGTGTGTGTATATATGTATATATATATATATATATGTGTGTGTGTGTGTGTGTGTGTGTGTGTATAGATATAGATATACAAAGTGCATTCTGAACTCTAAATAAGTTTTGTCACAAAAGCCATTATTTTCCATTGTCAAGGCATCGCAAGATCACATTTTAAAGCAGACATGGTCAAACACCAGTGCTGTTCTCAAGCAGGATCTCAAATGGCCCAGTGTGTCTAACAAAGAACCACTCTGGATTCAGCCATGTGTGCACAATTCCATACTGGACATAAAGTGCAAGATTTGGGTGTAAAAGCCAAAATTTCATAATGTACATTGTGCACTATATAGGGAGCAGTGAGCCATTTGAGATTCAGCCTTAGGATTTTCCAAGGCACAATTTTACAAATGTTTAATATTGACCATTAATGGACTGGTTTTGTTGCATTTTTCATCACTTTATCTACTGGTTTTATGTTAAAGAATGTTAAAAACTGCACTTATATCCATGGCATGGCTTGTTTAACTCTGACAGTCTGTTTAACATGAAATTATTATTTCTGTTTAGCTAAAAACAAAATTTAAATTTAAAAGTGACCTATATTTTGTTGATTTGTTTCAACTTAATCAAAACGGCCAAATAGCAGTTTGAATGATACAACCTGGAATGCATTTGAATGTATATGATTTATGAATTTATGAATCTCTATTAATACCTGTTTTTGCAAATGAACTCTTCTCATATATGTCACTCTAAGAGTATGTAGACTTATACAGAACAGAATGAGGTATAAACAAACAATGTTTATCAGTCAATCAATATTTACTCCTGTACTGACAAACCTAAACATAACACTTGAAATATTATAGATAATAGTGTTATTGATTTTTTCATCAGCCCATTCAATCTGGCTCCCCCAGATTTCCTTGTATACATATATAAAAGTATATTTATACTATGGTTTGGCTGAATACTTGATGGTTATTACTTCCTGAGAGATGTGCATTCATATTAATTCATAGATGCACACAGTTTTGAAAACAAGACAGTGATTATCCAGTCTCTCAGTCAAAGTTTAGTTACAACTCCGGACTAATGGAAAATGGAAATCAATGGATTGACATTGACTATCGATTAATTAATGAATTCAAAATGTTGATTATGTGGATTAATATGGATGCACATCTCTCAGGAAGTAATAACCAAGTATTCAACTAAGCCATAGTATAAATAGTATTTCACACCCATATCACTGTTTTTGGAACAAAACCTTATTTCTCGATTTTTCAGTTTTTGACATAATTTGAAAATACTTGTTTCCCTTTACATTGTGTGTAAATTTCATGATGATTGGACCAAAAGAAACAGCCCAAAATGACTTGGAAAAAACGTCTGGTTCCATTGACTTACATTAAAAGTAAAGCATGTTTTTCCTTCTCCTGTAAAGTTTTGGAGATACAAGGTTTTGTTCAGACAGCAGCGATATACTGTCTGCACTGGACTGGCCTCTAGAGTTTACTGCTGCAAAGCGCTAGTCTAATTTCATGCATGGACATATGAACACATGTTTACACTCGATGCAGTTTTCTTTTCCGAGCTGCAGTTTGTAAAAACTGTTGCCCGTTGCCGTTTCTGTTGATGTAGGCTAATAAATAGTTGTGTTTTGCTCTCACTTTTTTGTTAACTGGGAGACGAGAGAACACGAGTTCACCTCATAGCTGTTCCTGCAATTCACTCTCATGGTGTTTTGTTTCACTTTTCATATTGTTTTATTCCCTTTTACTTTTTACACAACAAATTATATCCCACTGTCTCAGCTGAAGGAAAATAGACATACTATCTGAGGAATATTCTCATCATTTTCTGTTCTGTACAGCTTAAATGTTCTCATGGTTCAAAGCAGCTGTAAAATTATGAAAATATAAAACTGTCATGTTGACACAGAAGAAAATGCAGACACTGTGCATACCTGCAAATTCTTGTTTCTTTCTTAACAGGCACAAAGGCAGTTAAATGCCCAGCCAGCTCTAACCCAACATGAAGCATGGGGAGGGGTTAATATGGGAGGACAAGACAGAAGATCCTCCTCAATCACAAAAACACCAAATACTATGAAGAAGCAACAACAATAACAATAATCCTGAGAGCAACTTTGCTTGGCCAAACTGGCCGCGCAGCCCATGGCAGACACCACAATACTTCACAATTTCCCACAAGCAGCTGTAGCACTGTACTCACACTGAATGTCCAGCTGCACAGATGAGTTTTGAGCTCCATGTTGGTTCTGAGCTCTACAGTAGTATAAACCACTGTGTGTATCATCAGTCTTGTTGATGGTGAGAGAGGGTCCGGTCTCTATCTGCTCTCCATTCTCTCTGTACCAGGTGTAGTTCACTGCTGGGTTTCCATCACTGCTGCAGTTTAAAGTCACTGAACTGCCCAACATCACTGGACCAGAAGGAGAAGCTGACACTGACGTGTTCCTGGCAGCATCTGCGAGAAGAGAAATACAAAACAATATGCACAAAACTCAGTTCCATTTTTTTACCTGTATGAAAATGAAACCAATACAAAATGCTTGATGTTTTACCTTATAAACGTTTTTGTTTATTTATTTATGTTTTGGGACAGTGGCATGTTTACCACTGTCTTATATCACCTTTCCTTTTAACAACTCTAAGGGACTGAAGACACCAACTGATCTAGTTTTAATAGTTTTTTGACATTTCCTTCAAGTCTTAAGCTGCACTACTATACATATGTACATACATCATTGTTGTACTTTGTGCTTCAACATGCGAACATTTTTTTCAGTGGGAGACAGTTCTGGACTGCAGGCAGGCCAGTCTAGTATCTGAATTCTCTGATTACACTGATGACACTGGTTGTAACACGTGCAGAATGTGGCTTTGTTTGGTCATGTTGAAATAATCATTGATGTACCTAAAAACACGTTGTCTAGAAAGCAGCATATGTTGCTCCAAAATGGGTATTTATCCTTCAGTCTTAATGTACAAGGTGCCAGTTGGCAGATGTTCAAGGTACCTATGCCATGGGTACTATTACAGCCCCTATATATATCTCCTGGTGTCAACATGGATTAAACATTGGGATGTCAAAAAAAGATCTGCTCATAATATTCATTTATATCATGATTAATGAAAATATTTTGAATTTAAAAATGATTTCTGTGTGATGAGAGCGACGCAGAACATCTTGTCTTTAGTTTTGGCCCTGGTGATAACATGTCAGAGTTCTGACACAGACAGTGCAAGCAGAGCTGTTCTAAAGTGCACAATATTTGGAGAACAGATGAGGATCCACATGCACCAAGCAGCAAAATACAATGAATACAACAGTCATTAATGACTGTTAGCAAATGAAATGCTAGTTAAACATTCTGCATACAGATATCCTGTAGGTCTGTCAGGCTTGAAACTATCGTCCAATCGCAAGTCAGAATGTTGTCGAGGGTAAACCAATGTACCTGCTCTTTTAATAATTATACTTTTATAAAGTGGCTGATTTGACTGTTTATCTGTTTTGATAAAGATTATCTGTAGAACTGCCCTGCTCAGCAACTCAAATGTGATGTGCCTCTTGCGCCCAATAGAGTGAAAAAGAACGGGCAGCTGGAAGTTCACTTAAAACACACCAGAAGCTGAAACTGAGCTAAAATGTGTACAGACATAAAAGTCTTAGACAGGGTGTAAAAAACAAAGTATATTTAACCCCTTTAAATCCCTGGCTTATTGCATACCAAAGCTTATTATGATGTACCACCAGTGGGCCGTGAAGCACCCTCTAGTGGTCCATGGGCCTGAACTCAGAGGGAGGCAGTAATTCGGGCTGGTAACATCACTGCAAGTCATAAAAACAATAAGCTTTTGTTAAGTGGAAAAACGATTAACTTAATTCTTTTATAGATTTTTAATTATTAAATGTTTTCATAGTATAAATAATATAAATATTAATGGTACAAATAAAATTGTCGCAGTAGTGGCTAACTAAATGTCATCAGTCTGAGACAACACAGCCGCAGGCACACAATGCAAACAGCAAACCAGAGATAGAGAAGTTTCTCAGGATGCTCTGTTTGGTGAGGACTTATCACACCTTTTCCTTTAGTTTGCTCCGTTTTGACATGTGTGAACACTCCACCCATATTCGGGTCTGCAACAAACAGCTGAACTGGTCTGGCAGAAACCTACGGGTCTCGGTCCGCTTCAAACTGAACGCTGTTCAGCTCACTGCTGATGGAAACGCGCTTTGTGATCGAACAAGGGAATTCCTCAGTAGAGCTGGCTCTCTGACACTCTTTACAGACTCTCAGCACAAGCTGCTGTTGAGGTGGAAAAGGATGAGAACCCCTGACCTAAAGGGACTTCAGTGCAAACGGGTTGAGCTATTCTTAGGTTGTAGAAGTGTGTAATAAAACTTTGGGCAAAGTAGCGAGTCTCAATCAATCCTTGCTCATAAATGACTAGACCTTTCCTGGATTCTTCTATTATATACAAGCATGATTGCATAACCTGTCAAAGATGTTTTTTGAACATTCTAGCAGCATTTTCTTAGTCTTCAGTTCCCCATGTTACAATTTAGGTCCAACATTGAACATCTTGCCTTTGTACTCATTTTGTTTAAATACAGATCAATGTGGATTTATAGTAAAAACTGCATTCTGTTTTTATTTGCATTCCACTGTCTACTGTTTCAACTTTTTTGTATTTGAGGTTTTTAATTAGGAAGACAGAAACTAAACCCTGTTAGGTTGGTCAGTACAGTGGGTATTTGCAGAAAATGTTCTAAGATCTGCACTGGACAGTCTGGAGAATCTGAGTACAGATTTGCTGGATGAGGTCTGATGGAGGAGGACACAGTCAGTCTCACTTACAACTCTTCAACACAAACTGAGGTTGTTTCTCCAGACAAAAGGACAGAGAGAGGCTTCAGGAGTGCAAACACTCTGACCTCATACATAAATAGCAAAAGAACTGTAAATGTTGATGGTGACCAAAACCTGGGCAGTTATTAGTTTCACAAGTGATGGTGGTAGATATTGTGAATGTATTAAAATGTGTGTGTAATGATGACAGAAAAATAAACAATAAAAGAAATTAGTAAATATATTGTTCCAGCTTTGTACTGGATGTCAAAAAAAGATCTGCTCATAATATTCATTTATATCATGATTAATGAAAATATTTTGAATTTAAAAATGATTTCTGTGTGATGAGAGCGACGCAGAACATCTTGTCTTTAGTTTTGGCCCTGGTGATAACACGTCAGAGATCTGACACAGACAGTGCAAGCAGAGCTGTTCTAAAGTGCACAATATTTGGAGAACAGATGAGGATCCACATGCACCAAGCAGCAAAATACAATGAAATAAGCCATTAGAATCAGTAAAAATGAAACAGAAAACCAAAAAAAACTTTCAAAAGTGCAAATTCTGTCATTAATGACTGTTAGCAAATGAAATGCTAGTTAAACATTCTGCTTACAGATATCCCGTAGGTCTGTTAGCCTTGAAACTATCGTCCAATCGCAAGTCAGAATGTTGTTAGTTTCACAAGTGATGGTGGTAGATATTCTGAATTTATTATGTGTGTGTTATGAACACAATAAAAGAAAATTAGTAAAAATATTATTCCAGCTTTGTACTCACACTGAATGTCCAGCTGTACAGATGAGTTTTGAGCTCCATGTTGGTTCTGAGCTCTACAGTAGTATAAACCACTGTGTGTATCTTCAGTCTTGTTGATGGTGAGAGAGGGTCCGGTCTCTATCTGCTCTCCATTCTCTCTGTACCAGGTGTAGTTCACTGCTGGGTTTCCATCACTGCTGCAGTTCAAAATCACTGAACTGCCCAACATCACTGGACCAGATGGAGACACTGACACTGATGTGTTCTTAGGGCCGTCTGAGAGAAGAACAAAGCAATAGTATGTAGTATTACATGTCAGCTTAACTCCACAAGATTGAATAGATTTAGGACACCACAAAACTATTAGAACATGAGACTTTAATGCAGAAACTATTGAGTAAAATGTTCGTAACCCATCTTACACAGGACTCGTAAAACAAGAGAGCTCTGGGTTGTTTTGATGTCATTGTTCTCCAGCTGGTAGGTGGCAGTGCAGTTGAATCTGAGTTCATGATGAAGGTGAGTAGTGATGAAGTTCAGCTGAGAGGAGGTGAAGCTGGTGTTTTGGTTCTGCTCCTGCCTGATGTTAGTGGGCAGGGGGCTCCATGATAATGTGGGCAGTACAGTAGGACACAGAGGAAAAGCAGAGCAGAATAAACTCACAGAGCTGCCCTCCAACACCCTCCGATCCTGCACCTCCATCTGATCTCTGTACAGACTCAGTGTGGGTTTGGGGACACTGAGTGAGTCTGAGACACACAGATGAGGAGTGTTAGAGTGTCATATTACAGAAGTACCACAGGTATATTTCAAATACATTATTATTATTATCTCAGAAGGTCAATCACACTGTACACCGACTTCACTGTATCACTCACCACTGACATTTATATAAACAGATGCAGTTCTGTAAGTGTATTTCAGTTCTCCTGACTCTATTCTGAAGTAATATCTCCCACTGTCAGCCTTATTGACACTGTTGAAGATGGTGGTGCAGTCCTTCATTCTGAGATCTCCTGTTATATTCCCTTTAATCTTGTTGTCTTTAGGTGTTGTGGAGTCAAAGACTGTCTGATCTTCCGTAGTGCCATCTTTACGCCATATTCCTTTAGGATCTCCCTGGAGGTCTGTATCAAACCTGGCCTCAATTGTAAAAGTGCAGGGTACGAAAACGCAGAGTCCTCCCACAGCGTCTACACTCTGTGGCAGAGTGATGCTGAAGGAATCGATGCACAGAGCAACTGGAACACACACACACAAACACAAACACACACACACACACACACACATACACACACACACACACACACACACACACACACACACACACACAAACACACACACAAAGCACCATTACTACACAAACACACCAGGTCACACTCTGAATACTCAACATATCATTTATAAGTAAGTAGAACTATTAAACCTGAATAAACATTACAGAAAACACACTAATGAACAAACCACACATTTCACCTTAAATATGCAGAAAACATCACAAGTTTCACAGTTTTATGTAAGCTAAAAATTAAATGACACACAAACCTCGAAAGAGACAATAAAAGACTGCAAATTTCTTGGCTACCTTCATCTTTATAAAGGAGAAAAATCACCTGCAGAAGAGAGAAAGAGGAAAACAAGTATGTTAACTAGTTTTGTAAATATTTTTCTCAATGGCTCACAAAAAACAGTAAAAAGGTACACTGAACAGTTTTCAGAGGTAGAATCTCATCTCTACACCTTACGTGGAAAAATAAAGCAGATTTTCTATTGTTGACTTTTACTGCAGACGTTCTTGTAACGACACACATCATCTTTAAAGGCCATTGTACATCAGAATGCACTGCGCAGTATCCAAACATTTTAAGTTGTTTTCAGTGAAGTTTCTCAGTTTCTCAGAGATCCACAGCTTTTACTATTACTGGATTAGAATGAACCACAGAAAAATCAATGGTAGGTAACATGCAGCTTAAGGTTTTCATCAAGAGAGAAAGTCAGTCTAAAATCTTTAAGATAAACAGACTAACGCTAATGGTCTGTTACCTCAGTCAAGATTACTAGTCACCTCCTACCCTGTAGTAAGTTTGTGGGTAGTCAATTATTTAGTAAGAAATGGGGAGAATTCACTGTAGCAGTTTTTACATTCAATAAGAAGCATTTTTCAGTGCCAAGTTCACTTTTGTCTAAATCCTCCTCACCCATCTCTGCAGAAACACACAGCTTGGCACATATACCAAAACAGCTGCCAAAACACTGCAAAAACATATATAAAAAAAATTATATCAAAACATCAAAACTATTACCAGAAAACTTTGCCAGGCAAAGCACAGATACATAAAAACAACCAACAACCAGCTGTAGGGTAGATCTGGTATTTTTTGATTGTTGAATGAATAGCCCTTACATGTAAACGCCCAAACTCTGCCACTATATATAAAATAATTAAACCCCCCAAAACACCAAAATGTGCAGAAATATAACTGTTCATGAATTTATAGGTTATTGCCTATAATTACTCAATAATTCTGGGTAGATTACGTTTTTCCAGCACTGTACAAAGCACACTTAAACAAACATGGGCAGCATATCAGAGAGTCCATGATCACTATTTTTCTTGTAATTATTTTTTTTTTTTCTGTGAGGTCCTTTAAAGATGTTTGAGTGGCCTTAAGTATCAAAAACAGTCAAAATTAATTTTTAATTTGATTGTTTTCCAACCTCTCTTCATCCCTCAGAATTAAACAGGCTGTTCTTGTAACTGTGCCTTTAAGACTGATACATGTAAACACCATCTGTTTGGATCGGCTGTCCTGTATTGGACTTCATAAAACACTCCAGGCTGGACAATGAGAGTGGGTGGGGCTAAGCTGCTGTAGACTGCATAGCAAATGAAATTATATGCAAATGACCTGTTTTTTCAGACAATGAATTCAAAACAGACTGTTGTACAGCTTAGTGTCCATATATAGGCTGGGTGGTCTGGTGAGTGAATGGTACATTTTGAAACCTTTACAGTGTTTACATTTTACATCAAACACTTTTACTGCAAAAAACTGAGGAAATCCAATTTTCCAATATGAGCCCTTTGAAGTCATTTCACAGGTGCAAATTCTTTTGTCATTTTTGCTTTGTTGACAGAATGTGGGGGTAGGAGGGCCTCCAAAGGCATCTGTGCACAGGGGTCTTCCGAGACCATGATCCATCTTTGAGTGGAGATCTCAATGAAGTCTCACACTCATGTTCATCTGCAACTAAACTCCCATCTCTCCTTCATTTCTCCTCTCTCTCATCTCTCCTTTCTGTCTTATGCTATTTCATCTTAGGAATTTCAGGAGAAGCACTATAATGTCTCCTGAGCCATCAAACAGCAACATTTGAGCAATAACATTTTCTTCTGGCTTCAAGTCAAGTGACTTTTTTACTTAAATCTTAAAACCACTAATGTCTGTGGAAAAAAGCACACACAACAATATAAAAGAATAAAATAAATAAATAAAGTTAGAGAGAAGGCAGTGCAGTGCAGTCTGTCTACAGAATTAATTCATTAAATTAAATTTCTATTTAGAGACCTCCAGAAACACAATCCCTCTAAAGTGTTCTGTTCTAAACCAAACCTGCCACAGGCAGTCGTGTTTCATCCAGAGTCCAAAATCACATCATACTGTTCACTGAACATCATGATTTTACAGTTTTTTTACGATTGCTTATGCGCTAAATTAAGAAATAACACACAGTTAGTAAAACCTGACCCTTTAGGGGCAAAACCTCAGCTCAGATCTGCAGCACTATAAGCTCATTCTCAGACTCACACTTTTAGCAAAACACTACACACACTACACTGTTTTACAGGCCACTAAACACACTTGACTACATTACATGCAGAAATCTAACATGACGTCACTTCTTTGCTATTTAAGCCACTGACAAAATACCACACCTGTGAAACAACTGATCTAGCATGGCCATCAGGTGCACAGACACTTGGGTGCTTAATTGTAAACTCACCTATCAAGTATAAGCACTGTAAAAAGGTGATAGGTGAGTTTTTTTATTCATGCTTTCATTTTTGTCTCCACAAATGTTTTGCTGTGTTTATGCAACATATTTTATTTGGAATTTAGTTCTGTTCTGAATTTCAGAGCAAAATGCAACCTTTGGAAATGCATGGATGTGTTGATTGATGTTACAATGAGGAGAGGAATAAAATATTCATCAGTGTGCAGCGTTGAGATGTACTGGAATACATATTAGAGTAACATAAAGACAAAGTATCTGTATTCAGTCCATGTTACATTTTGTAAAGGCTGTATTCTGAATACAGAATACTCTTTATTTTTTTTAGCAAAATCCTTTTAGAATACTTTGAGTAAAAAAAATTCAAATCTTCAAAAGAAACACCATTCATGCTTGTTCTTAAATCAGTGCACTGCATGTCGCAAACATGCTCCTTAGATGAACCCTTAAGAGGACCTCAAGTCATTCTGGCTAAATCCAGACCGATAAATCAAAGTGAAGATTTAGTTATTAATCTCAGCGTTACTGAGCTCTGATAAAGCCTGAGTAGACTGATAAATCAATGTGGTCAGTTATTAATCTCAGCGTTACTGAGCTCTGCTAAAGCCTGAGTAGACTGATAAATCAATGTGGTCAGTTATTAATCTCAGTGTTACTGAGCTCTGCTAAAGCCTGAGTAGACTGATAAATCAATGTGATGATCAGTTATTAATCTCAGTGTTACTGAGCTCTGCTAAAGCCTGAGTAGACTGATAAATCAATGTGATCAGTTATTAATCTCAGTGTTACTGAGCTCTGCTAAAGCCTGAGTAGACTGATAAATCAATGTGATCAGTTATTAATCTCAGTGTTACTGAGCTCTTTTGAGAGATGATCAAACTAATAATCTCCTCAGTAGTGGATATGTTTGCAAGTGATAAGGACTCCTGGACTGGTGCTCAGGGGATTGTGGGAGCACTAGACTAAAGCAGGTGTTAAGAAAAAAAAAGACAAATGAATGTTAAGAATTTGTCTTCATTTCAATTCTAAGTGATTTTGCACGAAGATTACAGGAAAAACCGGCCAACAAGTGACAGCAAGAAACAATGGGAAAAAAAAGAAAGAGAAATAAAAATGACCATGTTTTCCCCGTGTTCTGTATCAATATGCGTTCTAAATGTATTCTAAATATGTTAGTTTTTAATATATTGTAATGGAACACACTACTTTTTCACAGATGCCCAACACTGTAGTTCTTGTCCTGTGTGTAGTGTTTGGTTATTCATACATTTTACTCCAACAATATCTATGAATAAAATCAAACCCAGACTATATGAGTAGGAAAGCAGACATGTCTAAGGTGTTTTAGATTAAGCACTGCAGTGTGTAACTGGTTCAAACAGAATCAGATCGTAAGAACTCTTTGTGCGCCATACGGTGACAAAATTGTGTTTTTATAAATTATTGTATAGTTTTGAATGAAGTGTTTCATTTTGCATCCAATCTGAGGTGTTCTGCTGCTTGTGTGTGTGTGGCTGTGTAAAGTGTGGGTAGTCTTTAGATAAAATGAGCCCTGTTTTCAAAATCGTGCCTAAGAAATTATAAAAACTGTAAAAGAAGCGATTAATGCAGATGGATATATAATGATAACTATGCATGCTGTACTTTGTCTAAAAAGACAAAACCAAAGTTACCAAATGACCCAAATGATAGCTGTGACCTCTGTGGCCCACAATGCATCACAAGCTAAAGATCCTCCATTACAGATCTGCTACAGCATCACTGGCAGTTGATGAAAGGATACTAAATATTCATATATAAGTAAAAGTACTGCTACTGCATTGATACATGAATACAAGAAAAAGTAGTAATAATAAATATTATGTAAGAACATGTAAGAGTAAATATGTTATTTATTGAAAAATCAGTATCACACCCCTTGTGGCTACCTAGCAGATATTAAATAAATCAAAAATAATAAAGATATTTACCAACTTCATTTTATTCATTACATCAACATATCTGAGCTATGTAGTCAAATCATTTTAAAGGAGAATGGTAGTGGTATGATGCGTAATGGTTTCTTGCGGACAAAAATCTTTTTTTTCAGATTTCTTTACAGTGGTTTTGATCCTGACGTTTTAACCTCTTAATTTCCTAATTATAAAGTATGCAGTTGTTCAGTGTTCTTTAAGGCCGGTGGTATCCATGATATGCCCAGAAAAGCATAGGGAGACATAAATTATCATGATAATGACAAAATATTGTCATATTGCCCACTCCTAACACAGTATCACACAGACACATTACAGGAAATTGAGCCGTGCAAATATACAAGAATATACAAGGCCAGCTATTCAGAGTTCTGCCTGACTGCTCAGTGTCTACCCTGCATTATTACACCCATTTTAGAGCTTCACAATTGAAATCTTTATCAGTGAGATTTAGAGGAGCTCCAGTGGTTCTTACCTCACAGGGTGGATGAGAAGCTGGTGGAGAAACAGCTCTTTGGTGCAGAGAGTGTCTAAACTGTAGTTGATGAGTTCAGAATGAAGTGTCCTGCTGTGTCTCTGCTGTGAGTGATGAACACTAGTTACCCACAACATGCTGACTACCAACACACATACACACACACACACACACACACACACACACACACACACACACACACACACACTTAACTTCCTCTCACACTCACCAAGCCTGAATAGTTTCTTCTATTTCTTTAAAACATGCTGTTCACTCTCCAGTCCATAAAGACCACATTTGGAAACTAAGCCAAAACAACGCATTTTAAATTAATTTGTGAAATCATGAAAACATAAAATTCTGCATAAATATATGGGAATGGGAGACCCTGACTATTAGGCATAAATAAATAACAAAACTGATAATAATCACTGCTCTCAGATATTACAAAAATAAATACGTTGGTATGTCAGTTACATACAATTATTATAGACACTAATCATTTTTTGGTATTTACAGGCTTCATGTATGTCTTCTCTGAGCATGACTGATGTATTTTTTTCACTGTGAAATGATAAAGTCACATAAATATATATAAAATCATATGATCTGATCAGCTGCCCACCTCAGTTTTAACCCAGTAACTTTGCTGTACTGTAAAAACCTTTTTGCTCCAGCAGGTTCCACTACACCCTGTTTTATATGCTCTGGCATAACAGTAACAGTGAAAGTGTTTTCTGACTAAAAGAAGAAACCAGAATTACTAGCTAAATGGGTTTCTTTTTTCCTCCTCCTCTCGTGATTTCTTGCTAAAATATTCCTCAATACTCATCTGTTAAGTATATATTAGTTGACTCAGTAGTTTATCTGCAACTAAGCATTGTTTTGAACTAAGAGAAAGGCAATTTAGCCACGACAACTTTCCTAACTGTGTGTTTTAGCTGGCTAACTTTATGCAAGTGCTGCTATGGCTGCTCTCACTCCTGCTGTCTCCTTCACTCTCGCTCTCCCCTGACCTGAGTGACGTTCATATGCCAGTCAAATCCAAAGCATGTTTTGAAATAAATAAATAGAAAAGCACCCTAAATCTGCTTCAGGTGTCTATATATCTTGGTGTACTAAAGTATAACCTGTGTGTGAGAAGCAATGCACATATATCAGTAACAAATACAGCCTGTTTAATTGTAGTGGATAAAGAGAGGCTGGAATATGATCATGTAAAAAATTAAGACAGTTTTCTGTTTCACAAAACCACACATTAGGTAAAAATATCAAATGAACAGAAAATGTAGGAAATGAGCCCCAAAACATATGAAAGGACTGTTAAATCAACTTTACCCTTTTGTCTTTCTTTCTTTTTAAAATCAATGTCTTTGTCATTACAGTATTCATACTGAGAGGATCACAGTCCCACCTGGTTACGTGTTTTATGTGTTTCAGTTCATGTGTCCTTCACAGAGCAGTGAATGATAGACTGCCGTTCAGATACAGTAACAGTAGAGTACAACAGGTTTTACATCTGTATATATAAAGAATAACTTTCTTTTCTGTTATGTCCAGAGGAAGACTTTAGTTCAAGAAAGTGAATCATTATTTTGGGAGCACAGCGCAGCTCATTTAGGGCTGCTTGTAATGTTATTGAAACCCTATTTAGGCAGCAAATTTCAAAATAAAGCACTTTTCAAAATACAAAATGAAGCCACTGCATAATTCACTGTATTTGCTTTAATACATCTCATCTTGTTCAGTATAATATTTGACTGGTTGCTGAAAACTTCCAATTAGTTATTGGACGAGCTATTGTGGCTAACGGCCTGTATGGGTGTATGCATAGAGACTACATTTCCCAGAATGCATTCTTCCGTCTAGAAGTCCCACATGCAGCTTATCAGCACAAATCCGGTTTAATACTGCTGTGTTTATGTGTGAGTTACTGTGTGTTCATGTGAATGTAAGTTATACTGAAACAATGTCTCAGTTATATTTTTGATGTTTTTACTGCTGAAAGAGTGAACACATTTAGACTCTGTCACTACTAAAGCCCTCTGGAATAACATCTTTCATGAACAGTGTAGTTACAGACTAAGATGTTCAAGCATAAAGATAATCGTCTTTTTTTCCACTTCCTTGTTTTAATTGGCTGTGGTCTTTAGTTACAGTTTGCTCTTTATGTAAACTCATTATGTAAACTCAGCACCCCCTGGTGAATTTGAAGTATAGCACATTATCAGATCTACCTTTCTCTCAGTAATGCTAAGTACTGAAAAATTAATGTGGCCAGTGGGTGATGGTGTTACACAATTGTTAAAATTGTTAATATTTGTATGAAAGTGAACATGTATTAGGCTATACTTACAAATTCCACTTCTATATTAATGCTCTACTCACCTGTTCACTGTCATGTAACCTGCTTAGCATGGAGCTCAGGAGAAGCTACACAGAAACACTGAAATTGGCTGGTGAGACTGACTATAAAACAGAAATTACACAGAGAGCCTCTTTCAAATTTCCTGGAATAACAATATTAAACACAGCTAATCGTTAATCCTCATCTTTATTTACAGTTATTACATTGAAATGGTAGCAGAGAAAATCCAAAGAAACAGATGAGAGTAAATAAGATGAGATAATAGAAGCTGGAAAACAAATAGAACATCACTGTAGCCTTTAACTGACATCATGTGAACAGAAGTAGCAGTGCTAATGATACTGATATTTCAGCTGATAAACAAACAAAAACAGAACTGTGAAAAACGTCTCCTAACACCTCCCAGCACTACATACACCAGCTCTCTTGCTTAGTCATGTTAACAGAATGTTTTTCTGCAGTTCTGAGTTTTTATTTATTCAACATTCGCAAAACATTTACAAACAGTTAATTATTTAAAGAGAAACAGGAGCCAAAAATCTAAAAATTGTTAAAAACATATGTATAAAATTAGATAAAGTAGGCTGTCATCCAGTCAGCTACTTGTTACTATTTAGTTCATGCATTACAGATGCGGGCAAAAGTATTGGTACCCTTATACATTCACCAAAATACAAATCCAATTTCAAAAAAGTTGGGACAGTAGGTAAAAAGCACATAAAAACAGAAAGCTGATTTTTTTTACTTTGGAATGTAATATCTTACCCTATAAACCTCATTGCTTTTTCATAAATGTACGAAAAGCTGGGATGGGACAATTACATACTCGGAAATATATGTTCAATAAAACACTTTAAACAGGTGATACAATCAAGCTTGGACATAAAAGAAGTATCTAGGAAAGATTTAGTACTTAATAAGGCAAGGTTAATAAGGTTTGCCAAAAAAATAATGTTCCTCAGTCCTGCACTGCAATCATTTTACGTGTTTCTCTAAAGTGCATAATATTACAGTGTGTTTGGAGAATGTGTTGGGGGTTATTTGTGTGTTGTTATGCTAGGGGACTCTTATTGTGAAGAGCAGTATCAGGAGCCACCATGTTTGGGGTGTTTGTGCTTCAGTAAAGGGAAGAACTGGGAGTTGGGGTTTGAGGGCTTGAGCGGTGCGGACGTGCGGGCTCTTTCCTCCCCTGGGCTGGGGAGCAGAAACTGGAGAAATCTCTGTGTGTAAAGGAAAAGGCCAAACACCACAAATGAATACCAGTGACCTTTGACCCCTCAAACAGCACTGCATTAAAAAGCAGCATGTTTCTGTGATGGATATCATTGTGTGGGTTCAGAAATGCATTGTCAATAAACACGTCAGTCACTGTATCCACAAATGCAAATTAAGACTGTACTATGCACAGTGGAGGCCATACGAAACGCCGCCGACCACTCTGGGCTCAAGCTCATCTGAAATGGACTGATGCACAGGGGAAACTTGTATTGTGGTCTGATGAGGCGACCTTTCAGATAATTTATAGAAATAATAGATGTCGTGTTCTCCATGATCTACAGGAAAAAAGGACCATCCAGATTGTTTCCTGTGTAAAGGTCAAAAGCCATTTTCTGTCATGGTATGAGGGGATATTAGTGGGTATTAATGTGCTGTCTTTAAAAAACATAAAATATTGTGTTTTTATGCTATTTTCAACTTAATACAGGTCAAGCAGAATTTACTAATCACTGCTTTCTGTTTTTATTAGCATTTCATAAACTGGAATTGAGTTTGTACATTACTCCATTTCAAATGGTGAATGACTGATTATATGAGTACATTACTCCATTTAAAGTGACTGAATGAGTGACTATAAGATTGAAGACACCTGTGATGTTATTTAAAAGACAATGAAATATCAACACAATACAATCATTTCTTATAACTCCTATAACTGATTTTATTTATGATCCATGCAGCTGTTCAGCGTTCGGGAAGTGCAGACCGTATCATCACACACTCAGAAAGAGGTATCATGATGGAATTTTAGCTAATAAACAAATAAGAACAAAAAGGAACTATGAACAGCACCTCCTAACGCCTCACAGTGCTTTATTAATCAGCTCTCTTTGAGTCACGTTAAGCTGAGAATGTTTTTACTCGTTCTGCAGTTCTTCTCAGAGAGCCGAATAAAGATCAGTCCTGAACACCATCACTGTGTAAACCTGTAAACGAGAGCAGCTCCTCAGGATTTATTCTCGTTTAATCTCTTCTCTGAAACAGATACAAGAAACAGCAGGATTCATTTCATATATTCACATCATTCCTACAGCTCTGTGCATGAAGTCCTTGTTGTAAAATTAAACAATAAATTATTAAAGGTAAATTATAATCACAATAAATCTGAATAAAATGATGTGTGTCACCTCTGTTGGGCTGCAGAGTCTCATAGTCAGAGTTTTGAGCTGAGAGCTGCAGGGAAGCGTATGTATCTCCCTCCACCTTCAAAGCCTTCAAATAAACAGCACTTTGTCATCACATCATCATCATCATCATCATCATCATCAACATCATCATCATTTTTTTTTTTTCCTTTATAAATTCTATATTATGTACATGTATAATGGAATAAGAATCAGGGTACTCACATTTATTTTGCCAGAGAGTCTAAAAAGAAGGTCATTAAATGTCAGTTTTAGCAAGTAAAGTTAGAGAAAAACTG